AATGAACATATGACTGGCACAATATCATTTTACACACAGACAGAGAGAGAGAGAGAGAGAGAGAGAGCTGTAGTCCCACAACTTCAAGAGTTTCTCAAAAAGAACAAGAGTTTCAAGTTTCTAGCCCTCCTGCTTCTAAAGTATTTGGAATGGGCGCCATCCTCAGTAGGCAGAGTTTTACAGTCACTGGTTTGTAGTTTATGTCCCCTTTTTAAACAGAAAAGTTAGGAGTGCTTCAGGAAAGGTATTAAATAATAAAGAATCCCGGGGATGGGAAATGAGACTGTAGCAGGCAGAAGAGGAGAAACAAATATGGCAGAAGGAGGGCCTTGCGTAAAGAATTGAATTGAAAAGGTTACATTAATCGAACTTCCTGTCAGCCCTTGAGGTAGGCCAGGTCAAGAAACAGGCATAGCAAGTATTCCAGGAATGCTCTTCATTATTGCAGAGTACAGTACCAGGATCCTGAAGCCAGCCAGAGTTTCTCTGCCCCATCTTCTATCAAACGAAAAGAGGGGTTATTCTGAGTTTTTTTCTCATGCTTTCTTTTTCTCAGGCCAGAGTAATCTTTTCTCAAAGTGCTCTCTTAACGACTCACTCATTCCTTCCCTGTTCCCAAAGGCAGGTCTACTTTCCTTCACACCTCCTGATAATAGATACGCACAATGTTCTGTGGGGCATAACTATATTACGATTGCCCAGTGATGAGAAAGGTGGGATATAAATCATGAAAAGAACTAAAGCACTTCACTTTGGACTGATTTAAAAGGTGAGGACTAGCAACTTGACTTTGGCTCCTGCTTCTGTCCCTGAGGTAAGGCATGATTACTGACTTGCCCTGAGGAAATCAGTCATTTGGCTTTGGGTTTTGGCCTCTCTCCCAGCTGGGATGTGGCTCTGCTCTTTTCCGGGATGCGTGACCGTAGGCTACGGTTTGCGACTGTTTTTCCTGCTCTGAGGGCTTCACAGAAGCTGCTTGCCGGCAGTCGCCCTTGCAGCCAATGAATGTTTTGCCTCCCAGCTCTGCCCTGTCACTCAGAGCCCAAACCGTCAGTTCAGACTTCTGATAAGGCCTTATCAGAGCTGCCCAGCAGTGCTAACTCAGAGCTGTGCCTTGCAGCTTTCGCACCACCCCAAGAGCTGAGCTGTGGAAAGCTGGAAGCTGCAGGATGCACCGGCTGGGGAATTCAAGGGGGTGATTGAAGGGACTGGCTCACAGGCACCACTCTGCACCCTGGCTCAGGAGAGGCCAAAGGAGACCCGTGAAATGGTGGCAATTTAAATGGACTTGCAGAAATGAGCTTGCTAAAAGGAGGAAGAGCAGCTATGCTGGCTTGGCAGTTCATCAACCCACATGGCTGCAACAGGCAATTCAAGAGGGGCAGCCCCAGAGCTCCTCAGTGTTGCAGTGAATGATGGAAAAGATTATATGCTACAAGCAATCATACGGTTGCTCCCCCGTCCTCACGTCGTCTATGGTGTTGCAGTAAAATGGGTCCTTCAGAAACATAGACAGCCTTACTGGGTCCCCACCTCCTGTTGCCACTTGTGAGGGCTGGAGAAGTGGCCCACTTCTTAAGCCACTTCTAAGCCCACTTTCCAAATTATAGTGCAAGCAAGCCACATATTTTCTGTAGTATTTGTATTCTTATTTTATAATACTGCATTAAAGGCAGAAGAATATGTACTGCACAGTCACTAGATCAGCCAGGCATGATGCCTTAACTCTCCTGAGTGAGGTTGAAACATGAAAAAGATAGGATACAAATCTTTATACAAACAAATTTTGATTCTGGGGAAGAGGAGTTAATCTTTAGCTCCTGGAAATTGGGGAAATATTTATGGTGCTAGGACACAGTTTTCCAAACGAAGTCAAGCAAGATTTGGAAGAAGGTAAAGGCCTCCTGGGGCTTTTTCCATAGCATAGGACAGTATCTTACTTCCAAATGCATTTTAATCTTTTGCATGGTAGTTTCCGCAAGCCCTGATCCAATTACAAATGAATACAGTATTCCAATGCATGGAAAATGTAACCTTCCTTGAAACAAAATCATTACTTTGGAAGACTCTGCAGTGATGATAGTAACAACAAGAAAAACAATAATAATCCATTGCATCAAAGAAAAATTGATGATGACGACGACAATGATGATATAACAGGTCAGAATTCCTACCTTGCAATCATGGTCTGTGCTTTACTGTCTCCTAAAATGAGAATGGATCGGTCAACTAAACATGCCAGTTGCTTCACAATGAATCCAGTTGTCCTTTTCCAACACCAGAGCTTAACCTGATAGCACCTGCCGCAATCCACTATCTGGACAGGCAGGCCTACAGTTGCAAGGAGAGGAAGGGGAGATTGTGCACTGCCGTTCTGCATTCATAGGCACCTATTTCTAGGCGTCTGTCCTTGGGTCAAGAGGTGTTTGCCTGAGCTCTAGCGTCAAAGGCATTTAATTTCTAAGCTGGGGGGTGGGGAAGGAGAAGGGTGTGGGAAGTGAATTGTGAAGAGTGACAATTCCATCTCTAAAAGGCACTGGGGAAAACCTAAAACACAGGGCACCCTAAAACACAGGGCAGGAGGACCCATGCTTTAACTGAGACTTTAATTTAGAGAGCCATTGGTTCTACATCTCTCTCCTTCAGCGTCACACTCAGACCTACTTTTCTGATCAAGATTAATTACAAATAAAGTCAGAACTCTGCCTTGAAGTACAGCTCTGCTGGATCAGCCCAAGAACCAGCTAGTCCAGCCCTTACTTCCCACAGTGGCCAGCCAGATGCCTTCAAGATGCCCCAAGCAACTCAGGAGAGCTCTAGCATCCTCCTCCTTGTGTCTCCCAGCAACTGGTACCCTACTTCCACTGGAAGTCACACACAGCTTCGTGACCTGCAGCCATTGATAATCCATTAATTAACTATCCTCTTTCACTTTTACCTTTCCTGTGGCTCTTTCTATTCTTTTCAGTGTCCAGACCCAAAAGTTTCCACCTGCTTTCTATGCAACCTTCTTTACATGAAAGCTCTGGAGAACAGTAATATGAAGCTGGAAAAGTATAAGAAAAAAAAGAGAGAGAGAGAGGCTACATCCTTCCCCTCATGAAAGACTGTGCAAAAGATCTTACATTCCTGGATTCAACTAGTAAGAGATAAGACCGCAACAGATATGTTACTTTGATGATTAACTTCCTTGTTTTGTTTTTAATTTGCAGAAACTTAAATTCTCCCCATAAGTTTGGATGAGGTCTAGGAGTTCTGTCTTCCACGCTTGACCTCAAC